TACACTGAAACTGTCTCCTAAATCTGAAACCTCTAGGACAACTTCTTTGTTTGTCAAACTGCAGGTCTTGTAGGAATTAACCTTGATGCCACTGCAAGAGTTTGGACACTAAGCTAATTTCTGATTTTGTTGGAATGAATTGATCTGAGTGATTAGTTCTAATTTAAATTGTGTTAGAAAAGACTAAAATTTCAGCAAGCAACACTCAATTGTTTTGTCAATAAAGCTTCAAGCTAGAATTGAAGAGTTCATTCCAATGAGGAAAAAAAAAAGAAGATTATTGAATTGCAGAACTCGACAGCAAGATAAAAGTAAATAATAATTTAAAAAATTACCTTCAGGTCCACAAACTTCTGGATTACTAATGCAAGAATTCTGATAGCTCCCAAAGAAAAGAAAGGAGACTCCTTTCTTTTCAGTGACATAAATTCCTTTGTTCACCATTCCTTCTACAATGTCTAAAGGGAAAGCAAAATATAGTTTAATGTTTGCATAAATCAAAACTTCCTAGAAACATGATTTATACAGACTCTTAGACCTCAGATATTTATACTGCTCCAGCTACAGGTTTGTTTTTCTTTTGCTGTTGTTTTTGTTGGGGTTTTTTTCAGCTTGCTGGGTTTTTTTCTTTCAAAGAACCTTACAGATCTCTTTCATTTCAAGTTTATAAATATTATATTCATATCTGTCACTCTACTCTGTGACTGTTTGACAGAACCAATACACCCCAAAATTATTCTTTTTATACAACCTGAATAAACCTTATGCTTTCCAGAGTTCTGAATACCAGACACATCATAGAGGTATTTCTGTCTTGTTTTTAGGCTGAGTGAAGAAATTCTTTAATTAGTCAAAGAATGTAACAGAAGAGGGTTTATATTTTTCATATTTTGAAAAGAAAAGTTTGTGATCAAAAGCCACTTCTCAGTAAATAATTCAATTAAATATACTTGACAAGATCCACTCAAAAGGCAAAAATCTCCTCTTCAGAGATCTTTTAGTATGGCATCCTTGTCATTTGGAAAAGGCTATTTTTTTGTCTAACAGGGATAATGACTAATTGTCTTGTGATTTTCTAGTGTTCCCTCCTAAAAAAAAAAAAAAAACCACTTGTTTCATCTCCTACCAGCTACAGCCCATGAACCTTCTTCAGACAAAAAAACCATGACACTTGTTTACTATAGGAAACCTCCCTGAGATCTGAGAGTGCAGCTAACAAATGATGATGGGAAGTTCATCTTGTTTGTCCCAAGATAAAAAGAGGCACTGGTTTTAGCCATGAAGACAATAGGAAATCACAATCCAAACATTCAGCTGTGATAAAATGCCTGCAGTGCACAGAACACTGAATATTAAATCTCTCTTTCTGAGCAGACAGACTGTAATTGCTCAGTGTGGGATTTCATGTTAATACCATTGTTTGTGATGGCCTTTCTGCAAGGACTGTGAAGATTCAGAGCCTTGGTTTGAAAACCCTTCTTTATAATTTCATGTGAAATAGTGCTCCAAGGGAACACCAGCACTGAGAATACATATTCCTACTCCAAGCTGCAGAAATTGCCAGCCAGGTGCTGCCTGGTATTTGAAAATCTAATGAGATCATAAGGGGAAACAAAGCAGGCACACAAATGATCTAAAACATGTGAAGAGTGAGACATCAGAGCCTTCTCTCTGTGTTTATCACTGTATATCTACCTGTCTTCACAGAAACCTTTTGCACAGCACAAATCATGCCAAAGATGCACAGTCAGTGCTGGGGACAAACCATCTCTCTGGAGGGAGAATCAGAAATGCTGTTGTCACTGTCTCAGGATTGTGGATCCCTTTATGCAACAGGGACATGGGCAAAGCAACATCTCATTTCCAAGCTGTAGACCACAGGGACAGCACAGTGTCCTTGAGGACACAGCAAAAATATGGCACAGCCCTAAGTGAGCATGTCTTCAAATATTTTCTTAGTTCATCCCAAATCTCAATTTAAATATCAGTTTTCAGGTATATTTCCCTCCCTTTGAGGAAGAAATCCTCAAGTTCTGCCTCCAACTGACAGATAAAATTTAGTTTCCTTACAAAGAGTGAGTGTGTCCTATGGAGCAAAGCAAGTATTGCTAACTTCTTATTGAAGCACTTGAATTATAAACTAATCTAGCCAGAATAAATCCCATAAAGTAATGCATTTCTGTTTCCATAGCATTTCCCTTTGCCATTGATGTCACTCTTTATAATGTTCATATTGAATATATTTTATTATGTGAGAACTATGCAAATGGTCTATAAAGCAGATAAGAAAGCACTGAAAGGAATTAGGGTCATTTGAAGTTCATTATTAATAGAGTTCACATTTGCCAGCATACTTTTACTGTTAGAGAGTTTAAAAAAAAAATAGTGGGTTTAGTATTCCAATATAAAATTCTTAGTATCTGAGCAGCCCAAATGACAGTTTTACCATTTCCATCCTTCTCCTTAGGTCAGATTTTCCAACAACTTGATGTGAGTTAATACCTGAGTGTAAAGTGGACAAGAGGTCATATTTCACTCCCACCTCCACAGCATAAATGTGAGCTAACTTAAATGACTTTAAGCTCATGTTGCTATAGATGTAACTAGTTTCCAGTCTGTCAGGTCTCTGACTGGAGAGTTGTCATTTTCTGGTCTTCCTTTAATCTCCTAGTATGTAGATGCTAAAAAAGCTCAAATCAATACAAGGATGTAACTATGCAGATTTTTGCTTGTGTTCTTTAAAAAACCAAAACCAACATCATGTTAATCTAATATTTGTCATGATTGACAAGCCCTTACTTCCAGGCTTTGCAAATTTGCTTGCATTTGTCTTTTTTTAATGTGTCCCTTTAAAAATGCTATGAAACAGTGAAAACCAGGAGGCTTCTCTAACCTTGAAAGACAGAAGAAAAATCAACCTATTTATTCTTATACCTTCCTCTGAATGTCATCTCTGTTCCTATTTATTCTTATACCTTCCTCTGAAATGCTATCTCTTTTAAGCCTAATAGAAATAGGTTTTGGAGGACCACTGAGGTCCATCCTCCCCATGGGCTGTTCCACATGAGGATGCCTCTCCAGTAATTCAGATTAATCCAGGGAATATTACAGGATTACTCTTCCAATAATATATGCCAAAGTGAGTGTAAATAGACCTTTACCACATGATCACTTGAACCAAAACTCAGTGTAAACTTTGAATCCAATGTTACAAGAACCATCCAAGGTCGACAAATGCAGAACAAAAAAAAAAAAAATAATGTAAATCCTCACCTACAGTTGCAGAGAAGTTAGAGTAGGCAGAGTCATTGGTATATACAAAGGTAGAGTTATGGGAAGGAAGCACAGTGAAGTTGTGGATTCTTAGAGCTGGGTGGAACAACAAAAGAAAATAAGCAAATAAGCAAAACAATGAATAAACACAATCAGTAATGAAATGACCAATTCATATCTCTCAACAGAGCACAAATCACAGGTGTTGATCTGTGGCCTTTGAAATTATCACACAACCATTTCTCCCAAGGTTTGCACATCAATGTCATGTTCTTTACCTATGCAAGGGAAGGAAATACAAGATCACTAAAACAGGATTTTCTTCACAGTAACTGAGAAGAAAAACCTATAGAAATACAACTGCTGGTGAAAGGCTCTGAAATATCTTCCTGCAGGTAAGGAGCTCTGCATATCTAATAAAAATTATTATATTGGTGCAAAGTTCTGGGCAATTCAAGTCCCACGTCCAGTTCTGGGCTCTCCAGTATAAGAGACATATGGACATACTGGAGAAAGTCCAACAAAAGGCTGAGAATACTGGGACTGCTCAGCCTGGAGAACTGAGGGCTCATAGACCTTATCACTGCCCATAAACACTCAATGGGAGATGTGAAGATAGTACCAGACTCTCCTTATTTGTACCCAGTGAACAGCTAAGAGACAATGGGCACAAACTAAAACACAAGAAATTCCATCTAAACCTAAGAAAACCCCCAACTTTTTTATATCTGACTATAAAATTTTATTATCTTTTTTTCCCTGATTTTGATAATTTAACAGTATCTTGCACACTGTAATTGTTTACCCTGGGCAGGCAAATAAAGCTTGATGGAAAGCCCATGAAAGTAAATGGAGAGACATTGATTTGGGATTTAGACCAAGTGAGCTCACAGAACAAAAAGACAATTGCTCTTAAGAACAGAAAAAAAAACCCAGACAAAAACCTCAAGATAAAAATGCATGGAAAACACAGGGTCAGATGAAAAACCTGAATATGGCCACTTTTTTCTTTTTTGTTTGATTTGCTATATTTTGAGTTTATTGTTTCCCTTCAATTGCTCCTACTGCTGAGATAACCAAAAAAATTAATTTGCTGACACACTTGCACAACACAAATGCATTGAGAGATATAAATCTGGCTTCACACACAATGACTTCAACAAATAAAATGGATTAACATGACAGACAGATTATGGTGCTTCAAGGATTTAAGAGGAGAAACATGGAATGAAAATAATTGCATGATATGATGAGTGGAAAAAAAACAAGAAAGACTCTAGCAATAAACAGAAGAGTTGTGTAATCAGAATGGTATCAAAAACAAGCAAATTGTCACCTGCAGTAGATTACAATAAAGAAAACTTTTCTTTTATGTCCAAGTCAAATATCAGACAGATGCATAAAACCTCTGCTGGAGGCAGCTGAAATAATATGTGTCTTACAAGACACAACATAATGACTGAGAAGAATTTGAGTTATCCACTACCACATTAAGGAATGAATTCAACATTGTCACAATTGCACTGCAGAAAAAAAAAAAAAAGACTTTTGGCTACTGGCATCCTCTGCAAATAATAGTAAGACAAAGACCTCTAATTTTTTTTTCAGCAAAGTCATGCAGTTGGCACATTTATAAAGTTCTTTAACAACATGTCATAGTAGGAGTCAAAAGAGATTGTTCATATGTTCCAGTCCCATTCCTGTAAGAGGTTTGTAGGATCATCTGTTCTGCTTTAACTCTTCTCTTACAAAAAAGGTTCCTGAATTTTGCTGAAATAATGTAATTTCACAAAATTGGAAAAAGAATCTAACAACAGTTGTCATATTTTATACAAAGCATTTTCAAGCACTTTGCAAAGAACTTTGCTGGAAAATGATTGCCAGAACAGGGCTAGATATGGAGTGCTTTACTCTTCTTGAAACTACATGAAGTTCAGTGTCAGAAAATTACTTTAACACACTGTTAGAGTACTCATATGATAACTTTTTGTAAGCCAAATTATTATTCTATTGAAGTCAAGAGGAATGTTGCCATCAGCCTCTAATGGAAGCAGAATATTGCCCAGATAGATTTCTGGTCAGCCAATTTCATTCCTTTAGAGAAATTTTGTGGAAAGATAGGTCAAAGTTTAAGCTTAAAATACTTGAACACCTCTGCAATAAAAGGTTTTAGATATTTATGACTCTTTTCCCCACTTAGGACCAGAGATTGATATTGCCATTTTTGTGTAATAAATAGCAATAACTTTGTGCTTCTGTTAACATTTTTCATGTAAGGTTGTAAAGGTCTCTAAGTCCTGATTTAATCTTCTGCAGTGATCTTTTTGGGTAAAGGTATTACAGGCACCAGTAGTTACACAGCAGCCACTCCTTGGAGTAGGACACAAGAGCTTAGCTGAGCTGCCAAGGTGGTCAACCATGGTGGGAGGAGTAGTGAGAAATGCACATCAGCACAACTTGGCATTGGCTGAAGTGTCAAAAGGAAAAAAAACCAAAAAAAACAGTTCTTTGTGGAAATTACTATGGGACCTTTGAGTCTCAGAAGGAGGCAGAGCACAGCTCAACATTTAATCTGAAAGGAATGGCCCTGCAAGCTCATAACTCTGTGATGGGAACACAGTGGTTCTGTCCAAGCTCCATCAGTTACATCACCTACACATCCCCTGGAAAGGCCCCCACACCCTTTTTGGTCCTGATGGGAAATATTCGGACCAGAAAACTGCTGAATCCTACCAGACTGCCCTTTAATATCATTCCCTCTGGTATCCTGCAGCCCTGACTACAGACTCTTTCAAATCAGGGAGTTTTGCCTTACTGAATCTCTCTTGATTTTGCACAATTGGAAAAAAATGGAACTCATATGAGCTAATGTGGCAATACTGCTTTAAAGGAAACACCTAAAAGCAGATAAAAATGAGAAAGAAGTATTCAGGAAAGAGCTTACACTTCTTTTCTTACAGATAATACACACAATTTTCAAAAGTACATGAGGAATTTGGGCATTTAACTCCTTCCAAAATCAAAAAGGAGGAGACATCTTCACTGAGGTCACAACCAAAGGTCTCAGTCACTGAGGGCATTAGTGCCTGCTATGCATGTACCAAACCAACTAATAACAATGTGATTTCAATGACTCTTTGCATCATAAACCTTCTCCCTTTATAACCCTAACAATGCATAGACAGCCCATAAAACCTCTGCAACTACTCTATAAAAATCAGTTCACAAATACAATATCATTTGGAACACTGCAAAAACATGGACTGCAAAAAAAGGTAAATCTCAATTCCTGTGGTACAGAAGCTAATCCCTTCCTTTTCTCCTGCTCCCCTTCTACTTACAGACTGCCACCAATACTTATGTTATTGCCATTTTCAAGGAATCCTTTGTCTACCTCCATTTGTATCAGGAAACTCATGGATTCCATCCACATCTTCCAGGGGCCAGTAATGGGAAGCTGATGCAAGAACTTTGAACCCTTGCAAGAAACACAGATGAAAAGATTATTAAGGAAAGGACTAACAAGGAGTCTAACAAACCTGTACAGCAGAGGACAATCAAGGAGGTCAATAGGTTAAGTAAAGCACAATATTTTATGTAAATCGAGTGTGGCACATACAAGAGATCATAAAACAGCAGAGTAGATTCAAACCACACAACTGATGAACCACTGCAGAAAACCTGGTTTTAAAACTCAACTGACTTTTATTTTAGTTGCACTTAAAGCATGTGACAATCTCTGATGAACTCTCTGCTTGTGTATCCAGCAGCATTCACTGATGGAACAGCTGAGGAGTCATTCAAGAGCCATTTCAAGATTTTACTGAGGTTTCAAGCACGTGGTGGATAGCACAAAGCACTGAGATGGGAATGAATGGGGGAACATTCAACCTCTATAGCATGTACTACTCATCTCTCCACAGTTCAAGGGAGTAGAAGATGATGCTATAGAGTTCCCAGGAATCTTAACAAAACCCACTAGAAAACCAGTGTAACACCTTCAGGTTATATTAATCCAAGCACTTTTTCATCTTTGGTTTTCTATGGAGAGACACCAGAGAGATACAGGGAGGAGCAGCACTCAGCAGTGGAGGAGCTGCAGTTTGAGGAGAGCACAGGTAGCTGGACAATCATTCCAGCAGAGTTCAGCCTTCCTGATAGCTCTCACCATAACAGATAACAGAAATCTCTTACAGGGAATTTGATTTTCCTCAAGAGAAAAACTTCCAGAATACTAGGAAGAGCATTCACTCCTCCCCATAGAGCACCAGCTATTCCTTCAGAACCTTCTCCATGATACCAAAACCAGAACAACTCTTTGTGGCTGATGAGAACATTTCTGTTTTCCTCCATGTTATTCTTAGCAACAGGTAGACAAGTTGACAAAGGGGAAACATCTGCTGGTTTCCACTGACAGTTTTGTCTACACAGTCTCATTGATCAGAATTCGAATAGATTTTCAGAGATGTGATCACTTAAATTTAATCAGAAGCTTAACACAAATTTTATGTTAAGATAACCATTCTATTTTAAAGGTTGAGTGTTAATGATGCAGGAAAACATCAATTGCAATTTCTTATTATCTTGTTAGCTCCAAGAAACACTTCCTTCTCAAAAAAAACATGATGAAAGAAATTTATCATCTCCTATAGCTAAGAAAGTTTTAGCAGGCTGATATAGATATACAGAAATTTTAGTGCAAATGAGAATGATGTGGTTTGTTCACCATCATGGCACATCATCCTTTTAGTCTGAGTTACTTTTTTTTGAGGGTGAGGAGAAGGAAACACAAAGGGTGACAGGGTTAGAGAGAGTATTTATATTACACCATATCTGTAGTTCTCTGCCCTACAATTATTTTTCATTCTCAAGACATCTTTCCAGAACCTAAGGTGTGAAGCTGATAGAGAAGTTTGCTAAAACCCAATTCAGCTGTCATATACCATATAAAATCTCCCACACCTAATGTGCAAATTAAAACAAGTCTCAAGCAGTGTCCTTTGACATTTGGAGCCTATCCCACACCTTTCTCCACTCTCACGATCAAAACAGCTTGCCTATTTGATAATTATTCTGTCATTTGGATGTCCTGGATACAAACAGGATTTATTTATTGTGGATATGAAGGTGTAAAAAGTTTATTTGCATCCTTAAACTGCCTAATGCACACTGTGGAGACAGTTTGGTGTCCTCCATCCTCATGGGATAGTTTGAAGTGTGACACAAATGGGATCCTAAGATTTATTCTTTTTATTAAGAGTGCAAAGTTGATGAAATTGTTAAATATCACAGCAAGCAATTGTAGATCTGAGAGAACAGAACTAAGAGAAGCTCTACATCTTGTGAGGACACAGGAACTACTCAGACTTGCTTCCAAACTCAACTATACCAAAGATATCTAACAAATGATTCATAATTGACCAGGATCTATTATTAGCCCACCTCACTAAATGTTTGCAGTTGTCATAGAGGTTTTCTCTCAGAGAGGGAGCATGAGCATGAATAGTTAAGACAGGGATGTCTTTAGAGAAATGGATGAGATTCTATAACATTTGCTTTGGATATTTGGAAGATGCAGAGAAAGGCACAACTGCTAATCAAAGGAGAAAGCTACTGCTAACATCAGAGCATAATGACACAGAATAAACACGTACAAAAAACAATCTGAAAATTCCAGGCAGCACAAACCCAAGGCAGCTGAGCATGGCAAAGCACACTGAGGAATTGGGATATAGGAACAAGGTCTTTGGAGTTTATATAAGGTAAATCTGGGTATGTGCTTAGTTCTATCTTCAAAGAACATATTCTGGCTGCTGCAAAAGAAGTTAAAATTCTAAATTTCTATGGTATTAAGGTCATCCACATAGGCTACCTGTGCTAATATACCTCCATCTGACTTTGATCAAACTCTCAGCTCCATCATGCAGAGCACAGAACCTGCCTGCTGTTTCACACTGTGCTGATATGCAAACAGCTCCTGCTCCCATTAACATCTCCCTTTTGTGTAGAGAAACAAAAACAAAACAAACAAAACAAAAGGATTTAAGTTAAGAGAGGTGGTGGTGGAAGGAAAAAGAATAATGGGAAAAATACAGAAAACGAGAAAAGAAAACTCCTGGGAGAAAATTATTTGATGCCAAAAAATTGTGTGGCAACATGGCACAAATATTTTAGTAGCAGCATCATGACAAAGGCATCGCCATGGCAGACACCAAACTCCTAAGAAGCAGCTATATACTAAGGAGCTTACATTTAAAAGCTGGGAAAACAGGCCAAAAAAATGGGAAGGGAAATACAGTAAATTGCCTGGAGCCATGCTGCACATTGGTGGTTTTCCTAGCTCTGAACTACACAAAGCCATGCTGCTACCCAAATTCCAGCTCAACAACCCTGAGGAACCTCTGGAAACAAGTACCTGTTGCCTTGAATGCAAGATACTTTCCATAGGTGACTATGCTGTTTGGAACTGAATCACAGGACTCATTTACAGCCTAGTTCAACTCCAGAAAGCATCACTTGCACTTATGCATCCACACACTGTCCCACAAAATCAATGTGTGCAACTCTGCCCCATATTGCAGGAGGTTTTTCCTCTCCTGTTGTTCCATCAGCCAGGGATCCTCATCTATAGGAAATGGGACTGCATTTCTTGCTTTTGAGCAAAGGTGGAACAAAAGAAACTCCTGAGGTTGAAGCTACTACACTAACAGACAACATGGCATTTCCACCTCACTCGGTTTGACTTGAAAATAATCACTTATGGTTAAAACTGGAAAGCACAAAGGGACACACAAATTGGTAAAGCAGTAAAATTGTACTTGTACACCACCATGAGGCTTGAGGTTAAACTATTTATATAAACAGAAGAATTCTGCAGTTATACACACAGACCCCAAATAAGCTTTGGAGTAAGTTTTTTTTTTGCTGCATTGAAAACAGATGAGAGATCCTTAATGTGCTCTGTAACTGATTTAAACCAAAGTGAGAGGGTGGGAGGAGGGTAGATGACTTGAAGTCATGCCAAAGTACTGCAAAGTATACAAACTGGCATATCTGACTGTAAATCACTGATTTGAAAATGCTGAACATGGAGGAAAAAAAGGAAAATAGTCTGTGTAGAGGTTTGTCTGAGTCAGACTCACACTCATTAAAAAAAAGCAATAATAAACAACGTGTATATAGAATTTTTCCACATATCAAATACAAGCCATTTTTTCTCCAAATCTATTTCTGTGCCAAATATTCAGTAGGTGAGCTACTGAGTTGAAAATGACTGGGACAGTCTGATACTTTAGACTCTTACATTTTTAATACAGAGCTGACATTTAAACGTAGGATCAGTTTCTTTGGAGCTACTAAGAAAATAAAAAACCACAAAGCAAGGGGGGGGGGAAAAAGCAAATAAATATTTAAGCACATTGTCATAAAATGTAAATAGAGCATTCCTTACCTGGGTGTTTGGGGAGCTGGGAATAGTTTCCATACACCTGCACATAAAACATTACATAATGAGATATAGTGAGGCAAAACTCGTCAAGAAGAATCCAAGTGTAGCTCAATACTGACCATATTCAGAACATTACCTGATATTTTTGCTGAAATAAAATCAGCAAAGAATAATGACAACAGAGTAGAGATAACAAACTCTCCATGGTCTATTTAAGCTTAAAAGTACAACCGAAATCAAATTCCTATAAGATTTCAATCATAAGTTTTCCTTTGCTACTTTTGGTATGAAAAGGGACATTTTCCATGCAGGTTCAAAAAGTCCATTCTTCAGTGATGGCAAAATATCCTTCCAGACCCTTTAAGCAGTATTTGCTCTCTTCACACTTTGAGCTCTTCATTTAACTCTAAATAAATTACCGTGACTGGAAGAAAATTAAAAGAAATGTGCATCAGATCCGAAAGTTGTTCTGTTCCGTGGAAAGAAGTCAAATATTTCTGTTACAATCTGTGCCAAAAGAAAAAAAAAAAAATAATCTTGTTTTCAACTTTCTTCCTACGGTTGCCTTTTCCTTGCAATTACTCTCACGTTGTCAGACAGCTGAAGGCAGTTTTAGTTTTGTTAGCAAGAAAATGCACTTCCTTATAGCACATGGGGTGTAAAACTCTGCCTATTTGCTCAGAAACTGAGCTGAAGAGAGTTGCAAACTCCTCGTTCGTCCAGCTCACGTTTGCACCTCCATCCCAGATCTTTTTGGGTGGAGAGCAAGTCTGAGTGATGTCATGCTTTCTCCTCAAACTTTGTCCCATTCTGGGACTCTATTTATATCAACGTTGCTGCTGTCTCTTTTCTGAGTCCTAACACCAGCCAGGCAGGAGCAAGTGGAAACAAGTCCATGTGCTTCAGCAAACAGATAAAAGAGAGATTACTGCTCTTAGCAATCTGCACACTTCAAGAGAAACCAAAGCCAGAACAAGTGTTCGCAATTCAGACGCTTCGGAAAAATAAAACAGACGTTTCGGAAGGAAAGCTGAGATCTCTTTGTTAAAATAACAGATTGTATTTCTCTCTGAGAAAGCATAACCTTAAAAAAACCCACCCATTTAAATCACATGGCTCTCCCAGGGATTCATTTTATGGTGTTATATCATGCAGGGGAAACTGAGGCATTAGCTGTTTCACTCGATTTTGGAGCTATTTGCTCAAAAGTTGCACAACAAAACTAGTAAAAAAAAAAACCCTAGGAAAATAGTTCTGTCGTTGCTACTTATTTTTCTAATAAAAATAATTACATGTAAGTATTTTTCTAAGAGTCTCCCAATTACACTCTGAACTGTCACAAATATCAATCAGCATTTTATAGGTAAAAGAAAACCAGCAGCTAGAACTAGTTGATATTCTTCATTTAATCTGCTCTTCTGTTGTAAAATCTTATCTTCAGTTCTCTGCAAATTGTTTATTTCCAGTGAAATAAACTGGAAGATTTATCTTTTGACTCTTTGCTCCATCTCTTCAGGTACCTCTGTACTCACCTGATTCCTTTTCTTAGCTCTATTCCTTCTGGTATATTATCCCTCTCACTTTTCCACTGCTTAATCACAACTTCTGCACCAAAGCCTTGCCTAGAATTAATTATCACTTGTAGGATGAAAGAGTTTTCACTTACAATTTATATAGATATTATATAGGTGGAAACCAGCAATTTTGGCAGTAGCTGTGGCTGATTTCCTTAACTGCTTCCCAGATGTGTTTGGTCTGAACTTCCAAAGCTTCTGGTGGTAACTAGCTCCTTGCAAATAATTGGCAAATAGATGAGACTGCAGGGTCCAAGGACTTATGAGATCAAAAATCACTTTTGGAAACCTTAAGACATTGATGCTATATGAATATTTCAATGTTCAAGTTTAATATTTCAAAACTGCAGGACTGAAATAAAATGTGAATTTTATTTGCCATCTTGATTTAGGACCTACAACAGAATAACCCTAAAAATATAGAATTTCAGTTGCTACAAATATTTAGCTTCCCATTTAGTGATAACCAAATTGACTTTTACTTATTTGGCTCCTTTTTTTTTTTTTTCAGACTTCTTCCCTCATCACTGTTAGCCCCAATCTCCTCTATATCCTAAAGGAAGAGGAGGAATTCTGTGTAAACCCTAGGAATTCTGCATCATGTGGTGACAAGCAGAGCCACCCTTAGAAATAATAGAGATCTGCAGCTAAAAAAAAATCCGGAAAAGAGCTAAAATGTAAAAAGAGAAAGACAGGAATTTGAAATATTTGCCAAGAGGGGCTTGTCAAGGGGAAGAATATGCTTACCAAAACAATTGTGAGAATCCAAGCAAACATGTTCTCTGCCAGAAATTTCTGTGGAAACAGCAAATTGCAAGCAGACATTGGAGATTAGCTGCAGAAAGAAATTGGGAATTTATTCCTGTGATCCTCTGGCAACTCAATCTGAGAAGTCACACTGCTCCCACCACAGCCCATGGGCAGCAGGAGGCACTGACCCAGCTGGGGAGATAATCACTGGGAATTGTCCCTGAGGATCTTGGGGCAGAGCTCATCTAAAGCACCTGCATGTCCATAACAGCTCAAAGGTCTCCAGGTGTGGGGAGTTGGGCTAAACTTGCTCTCCCACCCTGTTGAGGGAGTAGGGAAGGACAAAGTTCTGATGTCCATGTTACAGGACTTGGGGCTATCTGGAAGATCTCTGGATTGTCTGTGTCCTTTGGGCAGAGAGCAGTGGAAGGGCCTGGGAGGAGCTGCTGCTCTGCAGCCAGGGAAAGGTTTAAGAAAAGAGAAAGATCAGTCACTTGATGTCAGTGGTGTCTGTTACAACACCTGCACAACAACCTGAGTGTGACCCATCGTGGGATAATTAGCCTCAGCTTTCAGTTTCAGCTTTCCTTGTTCCTCTCCTGTTCATTCAGGATGGTTATATGGTTGGAACAGAAAATCAGCAAATGCTGTAACTGACATCTCCCAGAAAATGTAAAAGAACCTGAAGTTAAAAATCTTTACTGCTCACTACCTAAAGACAAGCAGAGAAACAATCCTTTAAAGAAAGTTTTGGGCTGCAGAAGACAAACAATCTGTAACAGAGTTTTCTTCCTTTGTTTTTATTGGAATCATAACCTTCCCACAAGAGCTGGTGCATAATTGGCATTGAAATGTTTTAACAAACATCTCAGAAAGGAATATTTTAAGAATCAATCTGACAGTTTTTTGTAAAACTGCTCTAATATCACAGTCTCTATTGAAACACCAGTAAATATTCTGGATTTAAATGACATCCTGGTCAAACTGTTTCTCTGTCAGTAATAGACAAGGTGATTATAGCTGATAAATCAACATCCATCTGCTTCAATTTTAGTGCTGACTTTTCTGGCTTGTGATGGATCCCCTAGGTGAGTAGTTGTAGAGCTGATTTTATTTAGTTCACTCACACAAAACACTCCATGGTTGTGTAAACTGATTCACCTGTCCTTTGCTACAAGGAACTATCCAGGTGTACATAGTTGTAATTTGGTTAGATTTGCACATCTGCAAGGAATGAGAACAAGATCCTGTGTCAAACTTGCCACCTTCTAAATAACTACATTCCCACAAGCTTTGCTTATTTAAAACAACTACTGCTATTGGAGCAGATTCTTGCAATTTCAGCAAATAAGTTCTCTTCTTCCTCCAAAGGACAATTTTCTTCAGAAAGGATTTAATGAAACAATTTCCTTATTAAATCTTCACATAGAAAAAAAGCTTTTAAAGGGCATTTGCTGCAACACCTTCAAAGAGTCAAAATAATGTTTTCTTCCCGCATTTGCTGCAACACCTTCAAAGAGTCTGAAGAATGTTTTCTTCCTTCTCTTCTTCCTTGATGTATTACAATCAAATCATGTTCATGGGCAACACCAATTGGCCAAGTAACTATGGAAGATTCACTTGAAATACACCCCCACTGGAGCCCTCTGGGTGTAGACAAAAGAAAGAAAATACAGATCTGATTCAGACAGAAGATCTTTGCTTAAATTGCCAACTGTTGCTTAAAAAAAAAAAAAAGCCACAATGTATTATTTAAAACAGTATCATCAACATATTCATCTGTATTGATGTACTGGGTGGGGATGGGGCAGAAAAGGCTTTTTCTTAAGGTTTCCAGCACACAAATTCTCTTTTCCTCGTGGGATGGAATGTATGCACAGCTGTGGGAAGATACTACAGCACTTTCTCATGTGCTGGAAGTATTCTATGGTGTCTGTTCTCAGGCATTTAAGGACTACACTCCCTTCCACTGTCAGCCCTTCCACGATGCACATCAGGGCTGGACTTAACCAGGAGGGAAAACCCAGTCAATGACACTCCCTTCCACTGTCAGCCCTTCCACAATGCACATCAGGGCTGGACTTAACAAGGAGGGAAAACCCAGTCAATGGTCAGTTTTATTTCAACAGAAAACATGTGCAACCTCCTGTGCTTTCAGACCTGAAGACCCTGCAATTCTAGGCAAACCTCAAATGCACAACTGAGAGGATTTTCCATTCTTATTTCAAAAGCTATTTGTTAGTGTTTATTCTTACGGATGTGTCATCATCTCGTGTCACTGTTCTAGACTCTCCAAAAACAGCTTTTGCTGCAATCCCTGGAACATTCTCTTCAATGGGAAACATCCACTGAACTGTGGATGTCTATGAGGGAAAAGCAATTTGAAGTACACTGTACCCATTTCTTTAGGACATTAAAAAAAAAGGCATTTAAATATTTGGTTCTTTTCTTTTAGCTCTTTCCCAACCAAACAGCTAGCAAACTGAACAGTAGGTCGTTTAGCTTCCTAAGTTCTCTCTAGGACTGCAAAAAATTGGCAGCACTAGTTGCTTCTCTTCACACTGAAACTTTGAAATCAATAAATCACGTGTGAAAGTGCATTTTTATTAGAAAAAGGGAAGAGGTTGTGTAGTTGACATTAAGGATATACTTTCATACCCAAAAAACTTGTGGCTGTAGCCCTTACAGCAGCAGAAACAAAAATACTGTGGGTGGCACAGGCCAACAAACATGATGTGTTATACCCAAGGATCCAACCAGATTTGGATGCTGCAGCTTTGCTTCGACTGCTCTTCATGCAATACTCAATACATTATCCAACTACAACCCACAAATGCTTATTTTTGTATTTAGAACTAACAGAAAAATGAAATTTTCTTTC